ATCATACTTTTAGAAGTAAGTAGTGAATTAAGATTGTCGTGAATCAGACTGTAGATTGTCTAAGAGGTTAGACATAGCAATGGTTTGTTGCAGTATTCATGAGTACTTTTGAAATGGGGATTTAAGTATTGGATCAACCCACGCTCAGAGAATTACTTCATGGATTTTAGCATGAGTAATTTTGAGATGATAATATCTTATATTCTTGAAACAAAGATATATGAGTTGTTGTTTACAAGTTTGTTGTGCACTGATAATACGTAAACGCATCAGTAACTTGATGTTATAAAACGTATTGATGTGCGTGATTTGATGAGTAAATAGTGCAAGCATCTAAGTCGAAGTTTATATATTTTTTTTGTTTTGCACTAAACAGAAAAAGTTATATTTGTGCGGCCCTCGATGATTTGGTGATGACATCTAAAGCGCTTGGCCAAGCCTGGATTGAATTGATGTGTTCAATTAGTAGTCTGATTTTAGTCGTCATAAATCAGAAGTCGGGAAACAAATCTTGGATAGAGAGATTGATTATAATCCATATCTCATGTCCATACGATATCTTGTAGAATGAAGGAATATTTGATCACTTATCTTAGGACATGTCACCGACTAGGTCAGAGTTCGACAACGGCTTTTGGTAGCTGTAATTTGCTGAACAATTTCATAGTTATATTGGAAATTATAGTTATTACACTTATCCACGTACGAGACTATTGTATTAGGTGTCTAAGTCCATAACTATAATTGGTATAAACTTGAATTGATAGTAGCACATTTCTTTTGGGTTGCCTTTAAAACTACCAATTGAATAAGATCACTTTTAGAGAAAGAATAGTGATTTATTAATTTATTACTTGGTTAATAAATTAATTATAAATCAAAAAAATGATTTATTAATGTGTTATGGAAATAATACATTAATTAGAAATCATATTGTTTGATTAATATTTAATGAGAAATTAAGTTGGAATTAATTTTGGAGTTAAAGGAATTAATTAAAAGTATAGGGACCAAAAGTGAAAATGTTCAATAGTTGAGCATTGGACAATTCTAGAACCTCCCTGAAGAGGGGAAACGAAATCTAGAGTGCTCCTAGGTTTTCCTTGGGCTCTAAGGGTGCCTTAGATGCCTTAGGTGCTGTTTATTTTTTGGAAAAAACCTCTTCAAACCTCTTACTGTTGCGCGACGCAGCACACTCGCAACACTTTTCATCTTGCAATTGTTTGTTTTTTAAAAGTTTTCTGAGTCAAAAACCTCTGCGCGTGCTCTGTTTGGCGCAACACTTGTACTGCCTCTTCCAACCTCTTCTTTTTCTTTTTTTATTGCTGAAATTTTGATTATATGTTATTAAAATTTTATTTCACATTTTTTTTTCGTTTATTCTTAGTGAATTTATTTTTCATTTTTTTATATTCAATAATGATAATTTCTTGATGAAATATCATTATTTTTTGCTAAAATATCTTTATTTTTTTTTGTTGAAATATCATTCTTTTTTACTGAAATATCATTAATTTTTACCGAAATATTATACATTATTAAATTTTACATATTAAAAAGTTATTTTCGGTTTATAAAATTAGTTTATTTTAATTTTTTAATATCTGCAGCAGTATGCAGATGTTAAAAAAACAAACACGCTTCTTATTATATTCTGCAGCCGTTTGGTCCACCTTTTCTACTGCAGAGGGTTGCAGAGGTGGTCCGTAGACTTCATGAATTTTTGCTTCAGAAAATCAAACAGCACCTTAGTGAGGAAGTTAAGAGATTAGGGTTATCTTGGAGATACCTGACTTATCCAATATATTCCTAACACTTATATAAACCCTCATTAGGGTTGAATTTCGGCCAAGCCTTCCTTCTAAGTGCCTTTGACAAAATTTAGGCTTCTCCTATCTCTCTCTCTCTCTCTCTCTCTATATATATATATATATATATATATATATATATATATATATAGTTTTCCTTGGTTTCTAGGTTTGTTTTGTGAGCCATTATTGGTGCAACACTTGTGATGCTTGCTACCAAAGGTTATTCAAGAAGGAATTGAAGATTGTTTACAATAACAATCTTAAAGGTATGATTTATAACCCTTTTGGTTTGTAAATTTCGAAAATTATATTTACCTTTTAGGGTTTCTAGTTTTTGTGTTCAATGCTTGTATGTCTAATAGAGAAAACATAGATCCAACAATTAGGGTTGCATGCACACATATGGATTTTTTGCTATGCTCAAAACCGATTAGTGATATGTTCCTCAGACTTAACTTTGCCTTTTGTTGTCCTAATGGAGTTAAGCATGAGAATCATAACACAGAGAAAAAGGTTGTCAGTCGTCGTCCGGGATGGGCTCCTAAAGCGAAGCTCCGACGGTCAAGTTAGTGATTAGTGGAAAGAGTATGGGTTTAGCAGAAGAGTGAGTGAGAGGTCCCCCATATCCTAAAGGAGAAAGGTTCTATTTATACATGTCATGGCGGGGACAAGATCCTAACAATACATTTTGGTCGCTGTTGGGCCGACAGGATGTACATGCATCTCATTGGTGGATTGTGCTCCACTAGTGGTTATATATCATTGGTGTAAATCTCTCAGGAGGCGTAGACCTAAGTATTATACATGTCGCTCTGGGATACAATTGGTACTATTTTGTCTTTAAGTTGGATTCAGTGCTTGGGCTCCAAGGAACACACATGGGATCGTGAGGACGAGGGTGTGGTTTCGACGCTAGGCGTATGCCGATCCTTGACTACCACGTTTATCAGACGTGGGCTCCGTTACATTTGATGCATTCTTAGCGGGATATGTTAACAATGTTCTAGAACCCAGTCCTAAAATCCCTCCGATCTTTTTTGATTTGTGTCCCTTATCTTCATAAACATCAACATGTTCCTTTTCCAACAATTTCTTTGACTTTTGGCGTTTTGTATAATCGCGCGTATCGGCAATAGGTTCGTGGTCTTCACTTTCTTATTAATTTCGGCCAAGAGGGGGTTCCTTACTATATTATTTGGACTTTACGTATTGAGTATCACGAAACTAAGAGACCTTAGGAGAAGAACACTAGAATTGTGTTTACAGAACCATTTGAGAAAATTGCATGTATTGATTATACCTAATATTTTTGTGTAACGCATAATCGGTTGTAGGATTGTTGCATAGGACAGTGGTTAAATTTTTGTTGACAGTTTTGGAGTTTTGGATAGTTTGGGTTTTGGGATTCCGGAATAGAAAAATGGAATATCTTGATTGGTGTTTACATTTCGTCAGTTGTGTCTTTGGTTAGAATCGTCTTTCATGTATTTGTCGTGGGAATCCATAGTGGGGAATTGAAGATGTGTGGAATGAAATTGAGAGAAAATAAAATAGAATTGAGAGAGAATGAAATTGAATTGGAGTATGGTTTTATTGGTATATAACTATCTATATATAAAAATGTAAAATACAATAAAATTATATATGTTTATTTACTTTTTTACCGGTCAATGGTTAAAGAGGTGTATAGGATAGAGACATGCAACTAAGCTCACGGGCCACCTAACCCGCCAAAGATGCAAATCGCAAGAACACAGGTTGCTCGATGTTGTTTCCCAGACACTATCGTTGCATGTCTTGTGCCATCTTTCGTTGATACCATCCACTCTTAGGAGTAGTATTTTAATTTACAATTTCTTTTGTTCCTGAATATTTACTCTAATTGAGAATTTTTAAGGATAACACATGTTATCATCGGCTACAACACAACTAGACAACACAAGTCCATCATTGGTTAGGTTGATAGCCACCCCCATTCCACTCCACCTCGTGCATGTGAATGCGATATAAGTCGCCCGATCTATTCCGACCACCCCCTAGAATGGGTGGACGGGAAAGAAGGTCAATGATGGTCGGTCCACCGGTCATTCCTATGAGCCAACAAAAACAAAATAAATATTGTAAATCGTAGATGGAGACGGAAGGTAGTTTATTTTTTGTTTTATTTTTTTTAAACGACAAATTTAATCTACTTCTAAACTACTTCTTAAATCCACATATATCTACGACGGGACTCAAACCTTCAAGCTCAAGAAGAGAGGACATTACCAAACACCGCTGGACTAGAAGTCCTTTGATGGAAGGTAATTTATTAGTTTAAATAATGTTGATATTTATATAAATAAGATAAAAAGTAAATGTGAAACACATATAATAAGAAAAGCAACCAAATGAAAGGTCGTGTTCATACTCATATTGGCATTTGGAAGCACCTTCGAAACATGCATCGATTACAACATATTCTATTTAAGAAAAAAGGTATGAAGATTGAGATGCTTGTTTCTTGGAAGGGACAAAATAAAATAATTAGTTTATTATATATACAAAAAATATATGAGAATGTATGTATGTATGATTGTATGGAATAATGGTAGTAATAATTTGGAGAAGGGAGATGCAGATTTGTAATGGGGTCGGGTCGTTGGGCCCTATAAGAACGTGAATTACTAACGTGACATCAGTCACATCTTATCTTCTCCCTTTTTTTTTTTCCCTGTAGTTGTAGCCTTGTAGGCAGCAGGCCGGCTAGTCCCCCTTTATTTTTATTTATTTTTTCGCCGGTTAGCTGTCGGCTAAGCCGAGCCTTTGGCTCCAAACGTCAATCCATTATCTACGGCTACGGCCTGCACTTACTTTTTTTCTTTCACTTTTATGTATTTTATGTATTACGTAGTTTAGATAATATTAATAGACTAGTAACGAGTTCGTCCTATCTACTTTTATTTTATGAATCTATTTTTTAAAAGCTGTGAATTTGACTATTTGAGGGCCTTCGTGTTGGAAAATAATTAAATATTAAAAAAATAAAGAATATTAAAGACGGCTTGGCTGGCAGAGAAGGTGCGGACGCGCTACCACCAACATCTTATTTGTCTGTCACTATTTAAAGTTTAAACCACACATTTCTCTTTTCCTGCTTCTCTCTCTCTCTCTCTCTCTCTCTCGAGTTGCAGAAAACATTTGCCGCGAATGTGGAACTTCCGGTGCCTCGTCTATCTCTGCCTCCTCTCGTTGGTCGCTGCTCAGGGATCTACCAACACAACTTCTCCATGGCTAACATTAACGGGTACATACAAATACAAATACAAATACAAATACAACAACTTAATTTTCCTTCTTTTCCCAAATTTAATGTCAAACGAATTAAGCCTCAGGCTTGGTTGTTTTAGTTTTTGAAATTTGATAATATGTATGTATGTATGTGGTTTTGCAGGAGCTGCCCCCTTGGTGGTGGCACATGGTGGGTTTTCAGGTTTATTTCCTAGCTCCAGTTTCAACGCCTACACGTTGGCTGTGATTACTAGCGTACCCGACGTCATCCTCTGGTGTGATGTACAATTGACTAAAGATAAAGCCGGGATCTGCTTTCCAAGTCTTAATCTCCAGAATTCGTCCACCATTACTTCGGCCTTTGATAAAGGGGAAAACACCTACAATGTGAACGGAGTCCCTGTTAAAGGATGGTTTCCTATCGATTTCACCCTTGATGACCTCGGCAAAGTCTTCTGTAACTTACTTCATCTTCATCTTAATGTTTCCATTAATGTTAATCTTGCTTGTGGTTGTTTGTTTGTAACTGTCTATCTTCCTTCCAGTAACGCAGGGCATCTACTCGCGAAGTCCAGTTTTTGATGGGTCTTCGTCAATTCTTACCGTCAATGACGTCGCCGACCAAATACAACCACCGGGACTGTGGTTAAATATCCAGGTGAGCTCACTGATGAAGATGATTGATCAGTGATCACCTCCTTCTGGTTGTTCTAATTCTGTGTTGTTGTTGTAGCATGACGCGTTTTACGAGCAGCATAATCTGAGCATGACGAGTTTTGTGACAAACTTCATGAGAAATACTTCGGCAATTGTCTCCCATATATCTTCACCCGAAGTCAATTTCCTTACAAGTATTGCACCAAGTTTCAGACGAAGCACAACCACCAGACTGGTGTTCTGTTTTCTAGGAAAGTCCGAGACTGAGCCTACAACCAATCAAACATATGGTTCGCTTTTGAGAAACCTGACATTTATCGGGACATTTGCTTCGGCCATTGTGGTTCCTAAATCATATATATGGCCCGTTGGCACCGACTTGTATTTGCAACCCGCTACCACACTTGTCCAGGACGCCCACAAGGCCGGTCTCCAAGTCTTTGCTTCCAATTTCCTAAATGATGTGCAACTTCCCTATAATTACAGTTATGACCCTGTACAAGAGTATCTCTCTTTTGTTGACAATGGCGATTTTGCTGTTGATGGCGTCCTTTCAGACAACCCAATAACTCCGTCTGCAGCTTTTGGTACTTTTTTCTTCTTCTTCTTGATTCCTCTTCTTCTTATTAGTTCCAGATTATAATTTTGACATTTGAATTTGCAGATTGCTTATCTCACATGGGGAAAAACGAATCACAGAAAGGTAATATTTTATATTGTTTTGAATATTTGTATTCATGAATCGCAAGCCTACAAGATTTGATTATATGGTGTGTGGGTGTGTGTGTTGTGTGTTTTGGTGGTTCAGTAAATGCCTTGATAATCTCATCTGAAGGAGCAAGCGGGGAGTACCCTGGGTGTACGGACATGGCATATGAAAAAGCCGTTTCAGATGGTGCAGATATCATCGACTGTCCTGTTCAGATGACGAGTGATGGAATACCAATTTGTTTGGGTTCTATAAACCTTCTTGATAGAACAAGCGTTGCAAACTCACCTTTTAATAAGCCTTTAGTAATTCCTCAGCTCTCTGGTGCAGGAATCTTTACCTTCCAACTCACATGGGAAGACATTCAGACCTTGCAACGTAAGCATCATCATCATCATATATATATATATATATATATATATATATATATACTTATGTTGATGTATTATATGCTGCTTAATTTCTTATTTTGGTTTTATATCTTTGATGCTTTATAGCTGTAATGTTCAACCCATATTCAAACTACACTCTGTCGAGGAACCCTAGATTCCAAAACGCTGGCAAGTTTATGACTTTGTCTCAGTTTTTGGACTATGCAAGTAATTCTACTTCCCTTTCTGGAGTCTTGATTAACATAAAGGTGAGTCTTGATTCAACATTACTGGATATGGAAAGAGAAAGAGAAAGAGAAAGAGAGTGAGATGTTTTTTGTTGAAATGAATGAATGCAGAATGCAGCATACCTAGCATCTGGTCAGGGAATGAGTGTAACAGATGCAGTGATGGGCGTCTTGAATACATCTTCTTACAATAACCAGAGGAGAAAGAAAATTTTGATCCAGTCTTCAGATAGCGCAGTGCTGAGATTATTCAAGGCAAGAAGCAACAGACATGAGCTTGTTTATGAGGTGGATGAGAATATTCGTGATGCACTCAACTCAACCATCGCAGATATCAGTGAGATTGCCAATTCCGTTATCATTGGAAAGGAATCCGTGTTCCCTCGCAACTCAGGATTTCTTAGTGGACAAACCGCTGTTGTGGCAAAGCTTCAGGCTTTCAAGCTCCCTGTCTACGTACAATTCATGAACAATGAATTTGTTTCACAACCTTGGGATTTTTTTTCAGATCCATACGTCGAAATAAACTCCTACGTCAATGGAGTCTCGGTTAATGTCAACGGTGTTATTACGGATTACCCCGCCACCGCCGCCAAATACACAAGTAAGCTGTTTTCAATTCAATTCGGACTCCTTATCTTTATCCTTTTACTCTCATAATTTGAATTTCTGATTGATCTCACGATGAATTTATTTAGGGAACCGCTGCCTAGGGTTAGCAGCGAATATGACACCAGCATACATGGCTCCTGCACCGCCTGGCCAATTGTTCTCAGTCATGACACCTCCGTTAATTCCACCAGCCGAGGCTCCTAGCCCTATTCTCACCGATGCTGATGTTGCGGAAGGTCCCATCCCTCCAGCTAGAATACCATCTCCGCCTTCTGGCGGTGGTTCAACAGGGCCGCCGACAGCACCACCAAGTGGTGAACCACCTAATGCTGCCGTGGGCGTCATGTTTTCTTTTCTTGCAGTTATTGTTGCGGCGACAGTGTTGGTGTTTTGAGGTGGTGCTTGTTGATGCGTAAGTGTAACCTAATTTAGGAGATTTTGATTTCAATTCATATTGTTGTATTGTAAGTATATTATTGATTCATTTGTGGAATAATGTTAATTTGAAACATAGTACATGGTGCTTTCTTTGTTTGAATCAATGTGTTTTATAATTGTGTTATCGTCATTTGGTCCAATTAATTTAATGTTTTTGTTTAAAAAAAGTCTTATCGTTTTTTTGGCATTATAAACATACCAACTATAGTTTCCTCTGCCAAATTGGGAAATTTACCTATCACAGTAGGTTTCCTCTGCCACATTGGAAGAAAAGATGATGACATATTTCTTATTATGCCACAAGTAAACGACGTGGCTTACTAGTCAGCAAACCTTGGAGCCTAAGGCTTGAAGTGGTTCCCTTTATACAACCTAACCTTCGTAAGGACCAAACAAATGCCAACATAAAAGAACTCTCTTTTCAGCCAAATCCTACCCACCGAAACCTTAAAAGCCACTATCCGACAATGACAGCTCCACCACCGAGACTGTATAAATTCACCTGAATACATTACTATCAACGATCTACACTTGATTTTTTGTGACTGCAAATGTAAGCTCCAGGAGACTCGGGTCAATATACAAAATATGAAAGGATTTTGGTTCAGTCATCCTCATTTCCAGGACCAAATTCATCCATCTGCAGCATGAAGTCCGTTTGTTTCCAAAGAGATGCGGACCACATTGATGACCTGGCAGAAGCTTTTATGGACAAGCGGAAGAACGACGAGTGGGGCCAAAATTGGTCTAACTTGAAACGGACATAATTTTTGATCGGCGGAGGCGGAGGTTGTTTGAAGAGATAAAGTTTGCAACTTTTTGGTTTTTATAAGTCCCTTAAGCACCATATCTTATAGATCTATGAATTACTAATGCTATTAACAACACGGAGTGAAAAACCGTTGCTACTATTTCATCCGTCCGATTTCTTCAACATAAAATTCTAGCCACATAAACTCACTAATTACAGTTTTTTTTTAGTTCACACATCCATCCAAACACATCGTCTCCTTCCCACGTTCTTCAACCTCCATCCATTAGGGATCAATGTCAAACTTCTAACCTCTTAGCAGTTGAATCCTTTGAGTGTCAATCATCCTATATTCCCTCTCCCCACAAACCTTAAATTTTAGTTGCCGATTGCTACAATTCAGGGTTCTGATGCCGATATAAATCAATTTCATCACCAACATCGATTAATTGATCAGTCATGGAGCAATCAATCCATCTTTGATGTTTTCTGATTTCAGGTTGATTTTGTATGAAGAATAATTCATCTTTGTATCTTCATCTTATAACATCTATAAAATTCGAACAAATTTAAATCTTTTTAATTCATATAAAAACATTCAATTATTACAATTTGTTTTCAAAATAGTTTAAACATCAGAGTTCCCAGTAATCATAATCATCAATCGAGATAATCGAGGAGGTGTACGATCACGCCTCTGCCTTCCCACAATCATTTGCTGAACCTGAAACAATAAACTGAAACTGTAAGCCCGAAAGCTTAGTGAGTTACCCCCAAAATACCAACCTGATGTTTAAATTATTTTGAAAACAAATCATTTCCCTAAAAACGACAGTCCAATCCATTAATTAACCATTCCACTTGCAGTTGCAAAACCCTAGCTGAACATAATCATCACCCCTTTCCGGAGTCCCCGCGACTCACATTACGACCTCGAGCAAACCCCCGAGTCTCAAATCTAGAAACTCATGTGCTATCCTCTCCCGCTCAACCCACAGAAATATAATGAGTATAGATCATCTTTCTGATCCCAAATAATCGCAACCCTCTGCTCATTAGAATATGCACCAATAACAAATCTCGGTACTGGAAAGCTCGACTAGTTCCTCCCCCTGTCGACGTTACAGCTGCGGAAGCCGTCTCAGCAATGGTTGCATGGCACTCGATAAAATACCCAACTATGACAGTTTTGAAAGACCCAATCATCGCCAAAATCTATCCCCGCACGATCTCGATCACATACTCCCGGAGGATCTCCCTGACACGATCCTCTAACAATACTGGCCTATCCTGGCTATCAGCTCTCGATCCTGATTCGGATCTGATCTCAAACGTCTCGAATAAGCCAGACCATAACAGGGAACCAACTTCCAACTAAAACCCTAGGGGTTGTGACTTCCTTGATGTGACATCCCCATTTTCACGGCCAGAAAAGACCGATTTTTGTTTATGCTTTATAAAAATCAGAGTTCTTCTTTTAATAAAAATGTTGCGGAATTTTTTCCCAGAAAAACATGATATATACGTTATTAAAACATTTCCGAAGAAACGTACTTTATTCATTTTAAAACGTTTGGGATGTCATCGTCAATACAGGAACATAAGCATAAATAGAACTTACATTTATTTACACTAGTGATCTACATCTCTTTAAATCTCTCAGTGTAAAGTGACTTCGTATCAACACCTGTGATATAAATAAACTGAGTGGGTCAGGTTGGGAAACATGGTGAGTACATAGGGTTTTCAACCTACAATAATATAATTATTATGTTTAAACAATCAAACAATCAACCCAATTACCCATCCTCATTATCTTCTTTAGTCTTAAGGATCTACCCTAAGAATCAGCTATTCCTCGTTTATTTAGTCCTAAGGATCATCCTAAGGAATCGACACGAAGTCCATCATTACCAAGGCTTATAGAATATATCTGGTGAACACGTAGTCCGAAACATCTGGTAAACACTTAGTTCAAAAGTAACTAGTGAACACACTTAGTTCAAAATACCTAGTGAACACACTCAGTTCAAAGATATGTAGTGAACACACTCAGTTCAAAAATACCTAATGAGCACCTAGTTCAAAAATACCTACATGTTACTTTAAAATAATTTCCTTCGACGAAACCTAGTATTATCACCAATAGATTTTAGTCTATTATTCACCGAGACTAATTAATAGTCTAGCTATTATTACTATTATATAAGCGTTAAAAAAATACTTATATAACCCATAATAATAGCCCAAGTATTTATTATATGTTCTTAATAACGTTAATATAATTAAATAAAAACTATATTAAAAATAGCGTAGGCGTAGCTCACTTACAGCGGGTTTTATAGAAAACCAGGTTTTGCTTGGAGCAGCGTTTCCGAGCCGAAAATCTCTTCTTCTCGGAGCCGTCGAGCACTCCGGGGATTCCGCCTCGTGCTAGGGAGGTTCCCTAGGCTTTTCGGGGGATTTCGGGGCTAGAGAGAGGTTCTAGAGAGAGAGAGAGTAAAGAGAAGAAAGAATGGGAAAGGTGTGAAGAAAATGAGGGTGAGAGAGGTGGTATTTATAGGGTGAAAATGCCTGAACTTGGTGCCACATGTCACCATCTAGTGGCAAGACTTGGGGAGAAAGCAATGGCCAAGATTGTGCCACATCACCCATTTTCGCACAGCACACTTCTGACTTCTAAAATCCGTAACTTTCACATACGACCTCCGTTTTTGACGTTCTTTATATCAACGCGTAGGTAAAAATAACATCTACAACTTTTATTTTGACTCCGTCGGCTAATTCTCGACCGATCTTAAATTTAACAGTACGAGGCGTTTAGACTGTTAAATGACCGCGAACAATTCGTAACTCCTTCATACGGACTCCGTTTTCGTCTGTATTTTTACCGTTGAGTTCCTATTAATGAGATCTTCAACTCTCATTTAGGTCGCATAAGCCAAAAACCGCTCGAACTAAAATTCGAGTTTCGGGCTGTACACTGCTAAGCCGAATCTTAGAAAAATCATAACTTCTTCATACGAAGTCAGATTTGGGCGTTCTTTTTATGAATTTTCTCGGTTTAACATATTCTACAACTTTCGTTTAGATCACTAAGGCTAAATCTCGCTCTATCGTAAATTCACTTTTTACGCTTCCCGGTGCCGTGCCAGTTCCGTCGCGAAACTTCGACGAGTCATAACTTCTTCGTTATAACTCGGATTTCAGCGTTCTTTATATGTACGGACACCTTGTGACAAATACTACAACTTGGTTCAAATTATTTATTCTAAATAATATTTTTTCGAAAAGTCATTTTCGACCCCTATTATCTCTAAATTAACTAGTCCGGATCTACGGGCGTTACAATTATCTCCCCCTTAGGATGATTACGTCCCGGAATCATCAACGAAACAGGGCAGTATAATGACTCCATACATTATCTCTTCATCGTAGGTAGTAACTGTAACTTCTATGTTGCTTCGAACGGGTATCTAACTCTTGGACTCCTTGATTGCAGGCGGTGCTTGGTCTTGCACCTGCTCGTTAGACTTTCAGTCATGACTTTCGTGTCACAAGCTCATTCTTTATCAAAGACACCTTCTTCTTCTTAGGATAAGTTAATTTGATTTCTACAACTGATCGAGGTGTCATATTCTAATGACCTATTATCGTACGTAACAACGCTTAGACTCAGGTCTCTTAGAGTCAATTTCCGGAATGAAATATGCCTTCCTTCATGGTCTAATGTGATATAATCACATTTTAACATGTAGCATTTCTAGCTACCAACTTTTTTTAACAACGAGCGCGATACTTCTATTGATCGCTTTGATTTCAATCGTTTGGTTTAAGTCGGACGCTACATCAAACTTGGTTCTCTAAACCACGTAACCTACTCATCGTAGTCGGACTCAATGTGATATGACCACTAGGGTCGGGATAACAACAATTTTCTTAGTCATTACCGAAACAATGGTAACGACATACTTGAATAAAACGAAATCAATTACTAGCTTCTTGGTAACCTTGTGACTTTCCCTGATCCAAGCGTGAGTCCTGTGCTTCCGGTAGTATATGCATCTATGTGACATCCCCATTTTCACGGCCAGAAAAGACCGATTTGTTTATGCTTTGTTTTTAAAATCAGAGTAATCGTTTAAAGAAAATTGTTGCGGAATTTGTCCCCAAAACAAGATATGATAAGAATTTATCAAAGCATTTCTTAAAGAAGAGTATTTTTAATATATAACAAAATCTCGGGATGTCATGTTCTGATACAGACACATAAGCATAAACAGAACTTACATTTATTTACACTAAATGATTTGCGTCTCCTTTAATCTCTCAGTAAAATATGTCTTCGTATTGATACCTGTGATACAAAGAAAACTGAGTGGGTCAG